TCTACTTGAGATATTGGTTCCTTTGTCAGTATGAAGTGATCTTTTTTCTAGTTTTGGTTTGACATCTGTTTTGTCATATATGAATATAGCCAGTTCTGTTTGCCTTCAGGCTCCATTTGCTTGGAATATTTTCATTTTATATGTAATTTGAAGCCTCTCTTTGTCTTGGTACATTTCTGTACATTTCTGGTAGGCCACAAATTGTTGCGTCTTGTTTTTTAATCCAATCCACCAGTCTGCCTTTTGATTAGAGAGTTGAGACCATTAATATCCAGTTATTATTGAAATCTGTGTAGTAATTACTGCCATGTTGTTCTGTTTTCTACTGTTTAACTATTTCCTAATCTTCATTTTCTTGTCTATTTGTCTCATGAACTTCATTCTATCCAATAGTTTCATGCTTGTTTTTACCATCTTTGTCTGTATATAGAATCCCTTTAAGTGTCTTTACAGTGCTTTCTCAGTGGTCATGAATTCCTTTACTTTTATTTTTCATGGAAGGTTTTTATTCCTCTTTTAATTGTGAAGGATAACTTTGCAGGATACAGTAATCTAGGTTGGCAGTTGTTTTCTTTGAGGATTTGGAACACCTTTTCCAATGTCCTCTTGGTTTTTATAAATTCTGTTGATAAATCTGCTGCTATTCTGATGGGTTTGCCTTTATATGACTTGGTACTTCTCTCTTACAGCTGTTAATATTCTTTCCTTGTTCAGTATGCTCGACTTTTGAAACTGTTATATGATGAGTAGAAGTTCTTTTCTAATATTGTCTGTTTTCCTAAAAGAATTCTAAAATGTATGACCATCTCTTTCTCAAGATTAGTGAAATTTTCTGCTATTTTATTGAATATGTGTTCTATGCCTTTAGATTGCACCTTTTCCTCTTTTCTGCCCATAATCTATATTCTTGTCATTTAATGGTGTGCAAGATGTCTTTCATGCCTTATTATTGTTTGTTTACCTGAATGTCCTAATTAGTAGTCTATGTTCAACTTGACCAAGTTTATTAGTGAGATTTTCAACTAACTTTCTGTTTGGTTTATTGAACATTTCATCTCAAGAAATGTAATTTGATGTTCTGGTAGAGAGTGATATGGATCCAGGCAGGCATTTCAGCAGATAGGGGGAGTGGAATCTGTGTGCAGCTTGGCCGGTGCCTGTGGCTTCCCCTGGGTGGGGGATTCAGGGGTACCAAGTAGTTCTAGCTTCATCAATGAAGTTGTCATCTCCCAGCTAGACCACCAGTCCAATGATCTATTTGTAATGTATTGTCCAGCACAGATAGGGCCATGGGGAAGGAAAAGAGGTCTATGGATGGAGTAGTCCAGGACAGAGGTCTTCAGTGATTGCCTATTCCTTCAGCTAGTTGGACAGAGGTCTTAGAGCACAAAAGAGCTCCAGGTTCTAACTGAGGAAAATTTCCCTTTGTTTCTTTTATAACTCTAAATTTCAGTAATTCTTATGTTCTCTAGTAACTTCCCATTTATTGTAGCCAGATATATAAAGTTTTAGTTCAGAGCTATGGAGATGCAGGAATGTGGTGGCTGTCTCTAATTTGCCATCTTGGAACCTACTGTGTTCTTTTATTTCAAAACATTTCCCAATTTATAACTCCTTGTTTCTTTACGTGCTTATCTGCTTAGTGTTCTTCTACCCTATTGACTTCACTGACTTCATGAGCCCAAAGATTCAGATCCTCTTGTTTTTAGTGCTAGATGATGTCCTGAACACAGGAAGCATAAAATCAAGCACACATACAATGACATTGAGGTGAGGACCCCACCTCAATGTGTGGGACCTGACACTCTCCACACTAATCCAACTGTGATTAACAGAATAATTGGACTCTTCCATCCCCCAGCTTTCACCAGCTATCCCCAAAATTTGCAAGACCAAATTTTACACAAATGAGAAGAATGGACACTTAGCTGAGTTAGACAGTCTTGCTTTCATTTTCTTTACATAATTCAAGGTTGTGAGCTGTAAATTTTGAATTTACTGTGCAGACCATTCTAGAGCAATGCTTCCCACACACACTTAGAGCAATTCTCTCAGTCAGTAGCAGTCAGGACAGGCTTTCCAAAGGGGAACCACTTGGGATAACAATATAAATGTACAGAAATATCCGACTGTGATCCTTACATCAAAGAGTATGTGGATCAACAGTCCAATTATAGTGATATCTGAGTCTAATGCATCCCTGGATGTGATCTGAGATTGAACTTTAACCTATTGTTAGGGAGACTGTAAAAGAAGATAAGCCACTGGATATTAATATGGACTGTATGTTTCTAATACCTGTTTGATTAATTTTATCCTAATGTACTATAATTATCACCTTTTATGTGTCCATCTGCAACCAGAATATTGTATGGCTATTAGTCATCTCTGTAACAGACCTTTAAAGTCACATGGCTCCTTCAATAGATGTCTGAACACATGACAGAACAGAGGTGACTGGAATATTCTTCTGGCACATAGTGTCTTCCTACACACATACACTACAGCTCTTCGTATGTAAATACCTTATAAGAAATTAAGTTCACCCAAACATCTCTCCTTTTATGGTCCTTTATAGAGCAAGATCTTTTCCATTGGTCAGGAAATGGTCCTAGTTCTGTTTTAGTCTCAAGGAATGACCAGACTGTCTTTATTGGTATAAATCCCAACTGATTAAACTAGGCTTGGAGGGGGCTAGGACAGGTGGAAGGTCATATTAGCCTTAGTTATGACATTATTTTATCCAAATATGCATTTTGGAGTAAGATGAGGTAACTTAGTTCCACAGAGGTTTTATAGCTAAACAGTCCAAAAAAGGCTTTGGTTTGGATGACCCAATAGTTATTGGAAACAATGTAGTCTTATCCTGTTTGAATGCATTCCATCCATCTCTGGGCTTATGAGTATAGACAGAGATCCTACACAATGCCTTCATGTTGGCATGACTTGCATCTTGTTCTGCATGCTGAGATGACATGTGATAGCTCTTAGTTTTAGAAGACACCTGAAGGAAATGCTGGGTGAGTGATCAGATGTAGCAACCAGAATCCCAACTAAATTGACTATTTCTGTCTTTTACCTATTTTCTACTGTGTGTGTTGAATATTGGTATACCAGAGCAATTCTCAGTCTTCCTTTTGATTAACTTCATAAACAATATTTTGTTGTGTTTTTTAAAAGTCATCTATTGCAAAGCCACTTGCAGTCACTGATCCTCAGTTTCTACATCTATAAACTTCATGTGGTAGCATGAACCTATTTGACAATGCACAGTGAAGTGAACGAAAGGTGATAGGAATGCAATAGAATTCCTTGGAATTTAAGTACCACTTTCCCTGTGTATTGTCCCCAGCTTACTATCTCTGTCTTTTATTGATATTCAGACCTCCTGGCATTTCTTTCCTTATTTACCACCCTGTAGCATTCCTTCATAATGGAGAGTCTATAAGTGTGCCACAAGCAATGACCAAACACATTTTTTAATCTCTCACTCCACTGGGAGGTTTCCCTTGAAAAACAGAACTGTGTGGCTCCCAGTGTACATCCATCACAATACCTACACCTGAATTAAGCATGAATAAATAGGTGTATCCATGTTTTGCACTTTACAACAGCAGCTTGTCTATTGATGAAAGCTATCAGCAAAAGTGGCACACTCTGATTTTCATCATTGTGACAAATTACTAAACAACTTAAGAGACTTTTGGCTCATGGGTTCAGAGATTTTAATTCATATTTGGCTCCATTGTGGGCCTGAGGCAAGATTGAAACATTATGGCATGGAATGGAGCAAAGCTTCTCATCTCATCTCATGGTGGTCAGGAAGGAATAAGAGAGAGAGAGAGAGAGAGAGAGAAAATGAAGGACTGAGGGAGGGTGGGAGAAAGAGAGAGCCCGGGAACAAGATATACCTATCAAAGGCATGAACCTAACTACTGCCTCCAACAAGGCTCTACTTCTTATACCCTTTCAGCTATGAACTCAATGATGGGTTTATCCACTGCTGTAATTACTGCCTTCATGATTCAACCACATCTCAACAACACTACCAGCTAAGGATCAAGCCTGAACAAAGAGTTTTGGTTGGGGGCATTGTTTATACCCAAACTATAATAGTTGGGAGAGCCTGGGAATTTACATCCAGAGGTATGGGAAGAGCTGGTGAAGGGTGAGTGTCAGTTTCTGCAGAATTGTGGACAATAGAAAACAAGGAAATGCATAAGCACAGCTTAAATGTCTTCTATTTCTTCTCTGTTGTAGGAACTTTAAGATTTTTGTCACCTAATCCTCTAGTTTTTCAAGCTAAGGAGACATAGAACATGCATCTGAATTAAGATAATGAGAAAGTATAATTACCATAGAACCAGTCACAGTATTTCTCCCATCAGGAATGTGGTACAGAGCTCACAAGTGACAACTGCTCTTTCTAGTATGACTCTAAACCAGGTCCTAGAGTCTTCTCTTCCACCTACTGTGCAATCAGCCATTCATCAAAAAATCAGATCATGGGTACATTCTAAGCAGAAAATCTATATCAGTAGTTATCTACAGATGTATCCCATTTGGGAGCGTTACACATATTTTAGAATACTAATACCCTGCAGACAAAGACAGATTAGAGGAGATTTAAATCCATTGGCTTCACTTGAATTTTTGATAAGAAGCAATAACTTTTGGCCATAGTAACAATTATTGCATTACTTATTGATATGTCTATAAAATGTGTATTCAAAGATCAGAGTATGTGTATCCAGGAGTCCTTGCCAATTGGCAAGGTGGAGAGGACATCTGACTCATACACTGTGGGTGGCACACAGGTAGCTTTCCTACTGGCTGTACATTCAGCCCCACCTCCTTTCTCAGCACATAAAAACAGCAGGCTGGGCTCACGGAGTCACAGTTGGGTGGAGAAAGGAAGCTCAGTAGTTACAGCTCCCCAAAGAGCAAAGGCCACAGCTGAAAGCAAACTCATAGGAGAGAATTGCTGCAGGAAAGTGAGCATGGACTTGATCCCGAACTTTTCCATAGAAACCTGGATCCTCCTAGCTACCAGCCTGGTGCTCCTCTATCTGTAAGTAGCTGTCTAAGTTCTTGATCTCTGTCACCTTGGACTTGGGGTGAGAACTAATATGCTCTATTTATTATCTATTTGGAAGATCTAAAAAGAAAACGAACAGGAAATAGCTTAAGAGTTGCATGCTACAAAATGTAAGGACTTATTATTGACCTTATCCATGAAGGAGTTAGTAAGCATTCACCTCCCATAAAACATCCAATTTCTATGTCTAGGAGGATTTACGGAGATCATGTGTACATTGGGGTGCACACGCAGCAAGATTTCAGGAATCCCGGGGGTGACAGGGGTCTTCATTAGTTTTTGTGTATTATCTTTGCCTCTGTGTTCTGTGTCTGCTGCAAGACCGTGTAGAAAGGTTGAACCCTATGGACACAGGTGAACTCTGCTACTGCCCTCTCACCCTCAGCATCATTTACACAATGCACCTAGTGCACCCAGAGTTTATGGTAGTTTCACATCCCACTCTACCCTGTTCTGTTATTCTTCCCCAGAGCTCCCCTCACTCCTATAACTGAATTCCTTTATCCAATAATGTGCAGAACTATTCTACTTTAAGTCATTACTATTAAGAGCAAGGAATTTTGATAAAAGTTTTGAATTTTTATTCTGTTTCTCATCTTTTCCCTCCCACTCTAAACATCACTATAGAGAATTATTTCTTCCCTGATATGAAATCTACTGGCAGCCTCAAAAGGCGGGGGCCCCAAAACAATTTCCCTCTAAGCTCCACTCTGAGGCAGAAATCAAAACCATGTAAAAGAAAAGGGCATGGTAGCTCACACCTGTAATCCCAGCTACTTTAGACACAGAATCAGGATGATCAAGGTTCAAGGCCAACCTGTACAAAACTTAGTGGAACTCTATCTTAACAAACAAGCTGGGTATTGTTGATCATGCCTTTAATCACAGATACAAGGGAGGCATAGGTAGGAGGATCATGGTCTGAGGCCAGCCCAAGAAAAAAGCACAAGACCCTATCTGAAAACAAAACCTAAAAGATAAAAGGGAAGGAAATATGGGTCAACAAGAGGTAGATCACTAGTCTAGTAAAGACAAGGCCTTGACTTGAAAACCCCAGTGCTGCAAAAATAAAATTGTCAGATTCCTGGCACTGTGAGCAGGTGGAGGGGGGAGTTTTGTTTTTTACTGTGGAGTCAATATGCTCTTCACATGTCAACTTCTATCTGAAGTTCACAATGATGTGAAAATAGTAAATACACTCTTGAGTTAATGTTTACATCGCATAATATTTTGGAATTAATTGAAATTGCTTATTTTCATTCTATTCAATCCTAGAATTTCTTTGAGATACGCCCAATATCATCCCTCTGAAAAGTGAAAATAGGGCTGCTGGTTTCAGTATTTCAAACAGACATGATTAGAATGAGCTCATTTTAGAGTGATGACATAACATGGGTTTGAAGTTATGTATGCACTTGTATGACATGGATTGCATATATATGTGAAAATACACCTGCTGGGCAGGTGACTTTAATTCATCTGTTTTGATATACCTGTCCAGCAGGCCATCTTAATGTCTCAACATACGTGAATAAGGAAGAGGGCGGGCCAGTGATGAAATAAAGTACTCCAAGGTGGGAATTAGAACAAAATATTTTTCTCCCTTCAGGGAAGAACTCCTAGAGATACTTATGGGTACGGGAAACTGCTGAAGGTCACTGGGGGAAGATGTGTTGGCCTCAAATCACCTTCCTAAGGTGACACATTTCCTAAATGAAATGACCTGGAAGAATTCTAGCCTAAATCTCACAGGCACACTCAAACTCAAGTTTGGGAACATTTACCAACTACCCACTCTAGAATTGGGAGCTGAAGACTTCAGCTGCCTTTAGCTAATGTTTGTGACTTTCGGGGTCTCAATGAACGTGGGAGAGGAGTGGAGGAGGAAAATTAATTATAGATACTGCTTTATTTATTGACTACACTTTATCTACCTGCCTCAGCCATCCCATTTCCTGTGTTAGTGACTGGCAGCCTCCCTTTGTATGTTGGGAAGGAAGGAGCGGAGAACAGAGGGAGGGAGAGACGAGAGAAAGAGGGTACTGATGATCTCTATGACTTGATTTTCTCATATTTATAGATATGGGACCCATTCACATGGACTGTTTAAGAAGTTGGGAATCCCTGGCCCCAAACCTCTGCCTTTTCTGGGAACTATTCTTGGTTACCGCAAGGTGAGTGTTATTTGAGACCTTTATTTTGCTTTGTAGGGTTGCTTAGTTCCCTCAGTAAAAATGCTGCTCTTTGGGAGGAAGTTCTGAGGTTTCAAACTTTCAGAGACTTCTTGGCCCTCACCCAGACAGAGCATAACCAGGTTTGCTGCAGGGCTCTGTTTCCAATGCCAGAAGCATCAGGTTTCATCAGCTGATGAACTCAGATCTCTAGCATGTCAGCACTTGTGTTGGTAACTTGATGGTCAGACTTTGTGAGCTTCTAAGAGGATTTTCTTTTTTTTTCCACTGGAGAAGATTCCAGGAAGTTCTAATCATAGCACAGCTCTGGATCTATTTTTTTGTACAGTTAAAACATCACCACTGAAACTTAACACCAGGAAGATGTCTTTTTTAGTTTTAGAAGTGAAATCTCAGAACGAGTAATTTGTGGGGGGCTATGTGTAGAAGTGGCATCTCCTCATATTTCCTCATTGAGTTAAAAGCATTGGAAGGCAAGTGCCCTTTGTCTCCTCTTGCTCTCTCACTTTGTCACTTATTAACATGCCTGAGACTTATATTACTAAAAGAGGTCACTGGTGACCTCAATGTCCTAGTTCCACCAGAATTCATGAGATCTCATTAAATAAATGATCCCTCAGATTTGGGTTCATCATAGGCAAATGGAAGGAATAATTCAGAGGGTTCCAGGATTTCAGAGACAGCAGAAGCAGAAGCAAACACACCTTAGGAAGATAAGGAGTCAGTTATTTTTCATAGAGAAGGGTAAGGAGTTGTGTACTGAAATACTGGAAAAAACTCAAGAGTGACTGCAAATTTCTTTGTCAAGTATCTCCTGAATTGTGTCTTCTTTCCCCCTCTGAGCTCTCTGAGTTGAAAGTCATTCTTCTAGCAAGGAATAGTAATCTTGAGCTCACAGGATTTCAGTCATTTGAGGCCCAGTTAGAAATGGGATCAGTACCGTTAGAATAATAATGGGATGTCATATGGTTTCTCTTCCCAGGGTTTTGCAGATTTTGACATAGAGTGCTATAAGAAATACGGAAAAATGTGGGGGTGAGTATTCTGGAAAGTCCCATTGGGGAGACTTGTTAGGATGAGAAACCCACTGCATTGGAACGATATCAGCCCAGAACCAATTCAGATTCAGCTGCCATGTATTATGAAGTTTCTGGAGACTTTTCCTTACAAGGATCCCACATGTCACCAAGTGTCGAGGTCCACAGTCAAGAATTAGGCTAAGACTGATGCATCTTATGACTCTTCCGTGGGTATTGATAGCAGGGAGACTATGAGTCTAATTTTTTGTCAAGAATCTGGCTATTCTCCTTCTCCATCTTACCTTCCACTTTAATTACATAAAATGCATCATTTGATACCTTTTTATTGTGTGCTCATCATTATATTTCCCCTACACTAGTTTCTTTTTTATTTCAAGTCTAAACAACTGTATTTAAATTTTCTGTTTAAAAAGCAAGGTGCCAGTGGCTGGTGCTTATAATCCTAGCTGTTTGGGAAGCTGAGATCAGGAGAATTACAGTTCCAGGTCAGCCTGAGCAAAAAAATTTGTGAGACCCCATCTCAACAAAGGAAAAAGCTAGACATTGTATTGCATGCCTGTCACCCCAGCTATTGCAAGAAGTGAAGAGAATCACAGTCCAAATTGATCTTGGCAAAAAATCAAGCCCCTATCTTCACATAAGCAGAGTAAAAAGGGCTGGAGACATGGCTCAAGCAGGAAAATGTCCACAAGCAAGTGCAAAGCCTTGTGTTTAAATCCCAGTACCGCAAAAAAAATGTATTTAGCATGCACTTCTGAAAGAAAGTCTGGGAGACATAGTAAGCAAAATTGAAAATCATTAATGCTAAGCTTTTTGTACTTTCTCTGCATGGGTGCAGTTTTTCTTTCATTTCGTTTTTGCTTTACAGCCAAGAATTTTCAATGGAATTATATGCAGGTTTTCTTTCTTTCCTTGGTTCTACTGCCCTTTAAGAACTTATGTAAGTCATAGCTGCACAGCTGTGTTCCCTGTGGACTCCATGCAGTTTATAATCTTGAATGATGGCTCAGATCATTGAAGCAGCTCTTCCTGTTCAGAGCTGTGGGAGGTTTGGTGAGACCATTGGAAGAGGAGTAGTCATTTTCCACTAAGAGCGAGTGAGAGGAGGCTTTGCCACCTCTTATCTCTTTCTCTTCTCTTACAAACCAATCCTCAGAATCCACAGGCCCAACCACAGGGTCTGTGAGTTGACATGACTCATGAAGACCTTGTGATTTAGTGACAGAGTCACAGAGAGAGCCTTACATATCCTAACTCAACTGCTCCTTGCAACAGTTAGCACTTCTGAGCACTCAATCAAGTACTTGTCTTCAGTTTTTAACTGACCTAATATCCTTTTTGATAATCCAATATTTTGAACATGCAAAGAACCATGGCTAATGCAATATGCATGCACCACAAAAGTTCCAATGGTATCTAGTCATAATCTGTATGAAGAGCTACTTTGTGTCTTTTCCCTACTTAATTACCTTCATTTTGTCAACACTCCAATGGCTTCTGTGCTCAGAATCTCTACTTGAACTAGGAGCTCATCTTGCTGTGTATTGTGGACTTGGGGTGTGGATGATGTAACACCAGGAACAAAATCTGAATTTCTGGGTGTGATTCCAGCTCCTTTAGGTTTTTTAATCAACTCTGTTTTTCCAACACAGGTTATATGATGGTCGACAGCCTGTGCTAGCTATCACAGATACAGATATGATCAAAACGGTGTTTGTGAAAGAATGTTATTCTGTCTTCACAAACCGGCGGGTAGGCATCCATTTTTTAAATATTTAAATATTTATTTACTCAATTTTTATCACAAATAATTAGAAGTTCACAGGAAATTGCCTAAAATTGTACAGGCAGGTTTCCCGTACCTTTTATTCTGCTTCACCCAATGATAATATCTTGTATAACTATAGAAACAGTATGTTCCTCTTACTCTAGCAATAGGAAATTGATACAATACACAGACATTCTTCACTGTTCATCGATTTTTTGTGCCCTCATTTGTGTATTGTGTGTAGTGTGTGTGTGTGTGTGTGTGTGTGTGTGTGTGTGTGTGTAGCTCCCTGCAAATTTACCATGTGCACACATGTCTGCTATACCCAGTACAGTCATGATACAGAAGTGGTCTTTCACCATAAAGCTCCCCCTTGTTAGTCTTTTGTAGTCACCAGATGTAACTTGTCTTTCTCTCATAATGGGAGTCTTTTATTAGAGAAAGTCTTCCATTTGGAGGTGGACAATCCACCTGTATTTGGACTGTGCTTTTGGCAGTAAGTCTGAAAATTTGTCCCTTATATCTCTTGTACTGTTGTTTATTTTTCTTAAAATTTTTACAGTTTAAGCACTTTACATTTAAGTCTATGATCTATTTGGTGTTAAATGTTGTTTGATGTATGAGGTTCAGGTCAAAGTTCTTCTTTTCTTTCATTTTTTTTGACCTGTGACTCTGCAGTTCTTTAAACACCATGTTATTCCTGTCAAAAATCATTTGCGGAAAGGGAGTAAAGGAGGATGTTAGATAGATGAATTCAACTGTGATATATTTGATATGTTGCAAGAATATTTGTGAATGCCACAGTTCACCCCCAGCACAACAAAAAAAATCAGTTGGGAAAATGTTCTGATGTTGAATGATACCAGATTAGAACAGAGAGAGACAGTCCAATGGCTTAATTCATTATGTTGAGAAATGGAAGGAAGGAAGCAAGGGAGGGAGGGAGGGAGGGAGGGAGAGGGGAAGGGACAAAGGAAGGAAGGAAAGGGAGGGAGAGAGGGAAGGAGGGAGGGAGGGAGGAAGGAAAAAGATGGTATGTGACTCACACCTCTAACCTCAGTTACTCTGGATGCAGAGAATCAATTGGTTCATAATTCAAGGCCAGACCACCAAGACCCCATCTGAACATACAAGCCAGGTGTGGTGATCCATGTCTGGATTCCCAGCTATGCTGAAAGCATAAGTAGTGTGATCACACAGAAAAAAATACACCAGACCCTATCTGAAAAATACCTGCAGCAAAAAGGTCCAGGGACATGGCACAAGGTCTACAGTTCAAACCCAAGGAGCACCAAAACAAGAAAGGAAGAAGAGAATTGGCTGGGGCCATGTGGTCAGATAGGTTTCTCATGTCCATTTGATCCCTGTGACTTTCCCTCCTGCAATACCACACGGTCTTGGCTATTGTAGCAACAGACTGAATCATGTCATGTAGAGTGCTTCCTTCCTCCCAGTTCATTTACTTTGCAATGAATCATTCCACCTTTCATACTGATTCAGAATAAGCTTTTGGTGCCTGGCCTATACTGTTATAGAAATTGAAATCAAGTCATTGATGCCTGAAGAAAAACAGTGTCCTCAGCATGTTCAGTCTTGTGATCCATGAACACTGTGTGCCTTTCTACTCCTTTGGTTTTCTTTGATTTCCTTCATCAACATTTTGTAGTTTTCAGTACATGGATCTTGCACATGTTTTATTAGAGTCATCCTTCAACCATTTAATTTTCTTTGTAACCATTGTGAAAGGGATTGTGTGTCTGTGGTGTTTTTTATATATTCCTTATTTATCTTGTAAATGTGCCTGATTATTGTGTGTGACCTTGCATCCTACAAACTTGCTGGACTCATAAATACCAGAGGGGTTTTTTATATGCACCAGCAGATTCTCTAACTTGACAATATTTTACCTAAAACAGGGAATTGTTTTTCTCTTCAACTACATACTTCTCATTTTCATTTATTTTTTTCTTATCCTATTGCAGTAGCTGAAAGTTCCAGTAGAAGGTTGATAAGAGTGGACATTTGCTTTTGAAAGATGCCAATTTTAATCTTCTACAACTTAACCTAATTTTAGCTGATATGTTTTTCTATTTTTCTATACAACCTATACCTGTAAGAAAAAAATTATTACTAGTGTTAATTGTACATATGAATGGGGTTCTGTATGATATTTCAGCACATGCATACATCATACATTAAACAAATTCAGCCTTCCTTTATCTGGTCTTCCCTTCTATCCAGATCCATCTGTAGAAATCACTGTTTTGCATTCAGGATGTATTTTATTTGTCTTTCTGTGTCTGACTTAGAAGACATTATTGAATTTTACCTATCATTAGAATGAAAGCACTCAATATTTCACCTAAAAGGGTGTTGCTAGCTGAAGGCTTGTTTTGAATCTCTTCATCAGGTTGAGGAATTTTCCTGTCTTCCTAGTTTTCTCAGTTTTTATTATGAATGAAGATTGCAAGTATAGGTTTTATGCAATTTTATTTTTAGATAATAGATACAAATTTCAAGGATGTGGTCCCAAGTCTGTCTGAAGATGAGAAATAAAACCATCTTTCCTTTTCATCTGTCTTTGGAGAAAAAATTAGGAGAAAAGAGAGAATAAGGAATTACGTTGATTCCTCAGAATAACAATTAGAATACTAATCCTTTTAGCATTATTATCTTTTGAAATCACCAAATGAAGGCATCCTTGTATCAACATGCTTACTCAATAGATACATGAAAAGACGGAACTGATATAAGGAAACTTACAGTTGGACAAGGCCACCTACTATGTCCCAATCCCTTTTTATTTGTCACAGCCCTCATGGTTGTGTTTGCTCTTGTTCTGTTGATATCCCTGGAGCAACAGGTCCTCAGTCAAGTGGTAAATTTCTTTCTAAAAGAAGTTTTGAACCTAAAATTCTACACTCCTCCACCCTCACAGGTGCCTAATCATTTGGGATAAATATTTGTTTGGTGTTTCATATAAAACCAGACACTGTCTAGGCAGTCACTAAATATTTCTTTAAATAAGGGATTTAACAATTTTTTTTTGCAACCAAGGAGATCTCAAAACTTATGGAAGGCAAATTCTAATTTTCTTTGGAATCAGTTTCTTGGACCAATAGGATTTATGAAAAAAGCTGTCTCCATATCTGAGGATGAAGAATGGAAGAGAATACGAACATTGCTGTCTCCAACCTTCACCAGTGGGAAACTCAAGGAGGTAATAAGATAAAAAAGACTTTTAATTGGGAACTGAGAATGGATTTCAGGACAGGTAGATATGAAGAATATAGTCCTTATCTAAGCAGTTGTCTGAATTTGAATGTCCAAAAAGTGATGGCATCTCCTTAGATCCCAGAAGATATATTCTAAGACACTATAAATAAAATTTACATGCTTTCTTTGGGAAAGCCATGGCCTTTGGGATTGCAGTATCCTCATTTAATTATGTGTGTTATTTTGTTTTGTGCTCAGATGTTACCCATCATTACCCAATATGCAGATATGCTGGTGAAAAATTTGAGGATGAAAGCAGAGAAAGACAATGCCATCACCATGAAAGAGTGAGTAGCAGGGCCACCTGTGGTGTTCTGATCTCTGTCGGGAAATCCTCCAGCTGCCCACCATGGAGCTGAAATTCCCACTGTTGAATTCTCCAGGGATCAGACAAAAGCAGGTGTGTTACAGCTGCAGTGGTGCAGACAGGAAGGGAAGCTCCCAGGAGAAAGCAGAGAAGCTGGGATGAAAAGGTCATCTTCCCTCTGTCTAAGAGTCGTGATTACTTCATCTCCTTAACTGCCATTTTTGATATTCTGTAAGACAAAATAGATAGTTTAGAAAGAAGAAAAATGACCTCACCAAAGTTGTGAGTGTACAGGGTAGGAAATATTGTGAGGACAAGACACCAAGTATGTATGGGGATGGTATATGGACCAGGAAAGTTACAATGTGGAACTTTAGAATAATTTAAATCTATAATGGGTTTATTGAGACTACCAGTGAAATACTAAATCTTCCTACCATTTCTCTTTGAGACTGTGGGTAGGGAAATCATATCATTTATTGTGTAAGCTAGAATGTTTTCAATTTTCATGAAACATTGGTGTAAACTGCTATTGCCCTGGGCTCATACATGGAGGACATATGGTCACTTAGCTATGGGATCCACCCAAGTCCATTTTGAACAGATTTTTGTGTTCTTACCAGGAATATTATTTATTTTTACAGCCTACAGAAATTATTCTACCATCATAGCAACCTCACCCCTCTTGAGTTGGGAAAGAGCAGCTTTGTCAGGATCTTGAGCAGGGGTGGGGGGGTGGGGGCGGTGGGTATGGGGAAAGAGTGATATTACAGCTACTCAAAACAGGTTGTTGCTCCTCTGTAATGAGCTAAGGAGGAACCAGCTCTGGGCACACACTCTGTGCTTAGGCTATACCTAGATAACTGTCCTCTTTTTTGAGTCCCCTAGGTAGAGTCACTTATTCGACCTTTGTCCTGTTAAGCACAGTGATGGCACACCTGCTATCACCCACCCTCCATTCGCACTGCTGTAGTTTGTCTGGTTATGAGTCTCTGTCTCTCCAAGTTCCTTGAGCTTAGAGATGAGTCTAACTCACCTTAGTGTCCCTGCCGCCCATGACAAGAACAGCTGCATCACTGGTACCAGATGCACACCTCGGGGGGCATGTGATAGGAGCATAGATTTGTCAGATGATCCTTAAGTATTTCTAACACCGTTGGCACTCTGTCTGTCTTGCCTTGGTGTGTGAATGACCCCACTCTTCTCGCTGCCTGTGTTGCAGAAGAATTGGGAAGAGATGCAGGTGTTAATTCTCCATGTCTCTCTCTACTCAGCATCTTTGGGGCCTACAGCATGGACGTGATCACTGGCACCTCATTTGGAGTGAATGTCGATTCCCTGAACAACCCACAGGATCCTTTTGTTGAGAAAACCAAGAAACTCTTAAAATTTGATTTCTTTGACCCAATACTCTTCTCAGTAGGTATGTGAACTACCATTTCACTCTCTTTCCCTTGTTAAATAACAGTCCACTGAGATACAATTCACTTACATATAAGTAACCTACTTAACCTATAAAACACAATGTTTTTACTACATTCAAAGATATGTGTAGACATTACCACTGTCAATAGTTGAAATTTTCATCAAGTCAGAAACCCTTTTAACTAGCTCCTCCTCTACTTCCCTCATGCCTAAGCAATCCCTTACATACCAACTGCATAGATTTGCCTATTATGGATTATATATATGAAATTCTACAATCTGTGGCCTTTATTTCTGTCTTCTGTATTATTATGTTTCTAAGGTTTGTCGGTTGAACCGTAAAGCATGGATCAGTACCTCATTTTTGAGGGCTGAATAATATTCCACTGTATAGATGTAGCACATTTGTTTACCCATTTATCAGCTGGGGGCATTTTGGATTTCTTCCATCCTTTGACCATTGTATTTCTGTGAATATTCTTATACAAGTTTGTGTTGGAACACCTGCTCTCAGTTATTTTGGGGTAACTTCTCAGAAGTGGAAGTGCTAAATGGTATAGCAGTTCTATGTTTAAGTAATTAAGTTCTAAACTATTTTCTGTAATGCCCACACCATATTAAATTCTCACCAATAATGGATACAGGTTGTAATTCCTCCACATCTCAACTTCTCATTTGTTTTTTTCCATCGTTTTGATAACAGACATCCTAATTAACATGGAGGAGTCACACATCGTGATTCTGATTTGAATATCCCTAATGATAACAATGGTGAACGCCATTGGCCATTTTCTTTCTTTTTTATTGTGCAAAATACTGTGCCTCTTCATGACAATTTCATAGTATTTACAGTGTAATTCAATTACATTCACTCCCCATCATTCTCTCTTATACCCTATCCTCCTCCTCCTGGTCCCTACTCCACAAATAGTTCCACTTTTATGTTATATCTCTTTTATATGTTTTTAATCTAGCTTATACATGACAAAAAATGTGTTATTTTTCTGAGCCTTGCTTATTTCATTTAACATGATGATCTCCAGTGTAAATGATTAAATTCATTCATCTCAGTGGCTGAATAACCCTCCATTGTGATTGTATACCACAATTTCTTTATCCATTCCTCCACTGGTTGGCTATTTGGAATAGCGCTCCAATAAACATGGGTGTGCACATTATCTCTATCCTGTATTTACATTCCTTCAAACATATTTCTAGAAGTGGTATCATCAGGGCCTATGGTAGTTCTGTTTTTGGCTTTTTGAGGAACCTCCACATTGCTTTTACACAGAACTGCAAAGATTTGCATTCCATCCAACAGTGTGCAAGGGTTCCTTTTCCTCCACATCTTGCCAGCATTCATTGTTCATTTCCTTGATGACAGCCATTCTGACCATCTGGGGTGAGGGGAGATGGGATCTCAGTGCAGCTTGATTTGCATTTCCTTTACAACTAAGGATTTTGGATGTTTCTTCAGGTCATTTGTACTTCTTTTGCAACCTGCCTCATTTATTTGCCTATTGATTAATTGTGTCGTTTGTTCTTTGGTGTTAGGTTGTTGGCACTCTTTATATATTCTGGATATTAATTGCTTATCAGATGGGTAGCTGGAAAAGACTTTTGACCACCTGTGTGAGCTCTCACTTAATTCTGGTAATTGTTTCTTAGCTGTGCAGAAGCTTTATAATTTGATTCAATTCCATTTGTCAATTTTTCCCTGTTATTTCCTAAGCTACTGGAGTCTCATTCAGAAAGTCATTGCCTGTGCTGACATCTCAAAGTGTCTTCCTTTGTTCTCCTGGAATAGCTTTAAAGTCTCAGGTTGAACTTTAAGGTCTGATTCATTTTGAATTGATTTTGTACATAATAATATGTAAGGATCTAGTTTCAGTCTTCTGCATGTGGATATCGAGTTTCCCCAGCACAGTTTATAAAAAGGGGTTGTCTTTTCTCCAACATAAATTTGGGCACCTTTGTTGAGAATCAGGTGGTGGCTGTAGCTGTGTGTGCTGATATCCGGGTACTCTGTTCTGTGCCATTGGTGTTTGTTTATGTGGTAGTGCTATGATATTTTTGTTATGTGACGCCGTAGTAGAATTTGAAATCAGCTATTGTGATACCTCTGGCATTGCTTTTTTTTCAGGATTACCTCAGTTTTCTGGGGTCATTGCACTTTCATATAAATTTTAGGTTTTTTTTCTAATTCTGTAAAGAATTTCATTGGAATTTTTATGGGGATGTCATTGGATGTGTTAATTGCTTCTGATAATGCAGCCATTTTTACAATATTAATTTACTGATGCATGAACCTGGGAAGTCTTTTTAGTCCTATAGTGTATTCTATTTCTTCAGTTTTCTTTGTAGAAGTCTTCCCTTTACCCTAGGTATTTTTTAGACTGCTGTGATTGAAATTATTCTCCCTGACTTCTTTCTCATCAAGCTCGTTATTGACATTTACAGAACCTTACTGATTTTTGTGTGCTAATTTTATATCTTCATACTTTGCTGCAAGCTGATCAGATCTAATAAGTTTTTGAAAGATTCTTTAAGATCTTTTAAGCATGGATTCATATTGTCTGCAAATAGGTATAATTTCATTTCTTTATTCCTTGGTAGCATCCTTTGTACTTATTTCTCTTGCCTATTGCTTTGGATAAGAATTCAAGCACTGTAACAAATTCAAAGAGAGGATGTCTTTTGTCTCATTCAATGATTTTTAAAAGGCTCCTTTAATTTTTCCCCATTTACTGTAACTTTGCCTATGTGTTTGTAATCTGTACCTTTAATAAGGTGAAGTATGTTCCTTATACTCTAAGTTTCTTTGGGGCTTTTATCATGAAGTGATGTTAGATTTTTGTCAAAGACTTTTTCTACATCTACTGAGACAATCATGTGATTTTGTTCTTGATTCTGTTTATGTGCTATATTACATTTATTGATTTGCATTATAGTTGAACCATCATTTCTTCCATGGAAGGAAACCCACTTGGTGGTGATGAATGATCTTTTTAATGTGTTGTTGAATTCTGTTTGCAAGTGTTTTATTGAGGGTTTTTGCACCTATGTTCATCAAAGATTATATTGGTCTATAGTTTTCTCTTTTTGTTGTGTCCTTACTTGGTTATGGTAACACTGGCCATGGTAACACTGGCTTTGTATAATGTGTGTTCTTTCCTTTTTATTTTATAGGATAGATTGAAAAGCATTAATGTTAGCTTTATTTAAAAGTTCAGTAGAATTCAGCAGTAAATCCATCCATTCCTGGGCTTTTCTTTGTTGGTACACTTTGTTATTGCTTTAATCTTATTGATTGTTATAGACAGTTAGATGGTTCAGTTTTGCAGGTGCATGTGCCTAGAAATTTATCCATTTCCTCTAGATTTACCAATTTATTGGAACATAAATACTTAAAGTATTCCCTAATGATCCTCTGCATTTCATTGGTAGCTGTTGTAATAGCCTTCCCCCCTTTTCATTTCTGCTTTTGTTAATTCAGATCATCTCCTTCTACTTTGGTTAGTTTGGCTAAAGGATTTCTCAACCCTTTATATATACATTTTTTCTTTTATTTCAATGTGCATAAAATGTTTGGGTCATTTCTCCCCGCTTCCCCCCACCCCAAACATTACCCCCTACCCTCTCCCTCTCTCCACCCTACTCCCTCACTACCATGCAGAAACTATTTTGCCCTTATCTCTAATTTTGTTGAAGGAGAGTATAAGCAGTAATAGGAAGGACCAAGGGATTTAGCCAGTTGAGATAAGGATAGCTATACAGGGAGTTGACTCACATTGCTTTCCTGTACATATGTGTTGCCTTCTAAATTAATTCTTCTCAAACTAAACTTTTCTCTAGTTCCTGGTCCCCATTCCTATTGGCCTCTGTCACTTAATTATCTGCATTAGTTTCTCTGCATTGAGGGCAACAAATACTATCTAGTTTTTTGGTTGTCTTACCTATCCTCATACCTCCTAAGTGTTCTCTCGCTTTCTCATGTGATCAAAGTCCAATCCCATTGTTGTGTTTGCCCTTGATCTAATGTCCACATATGAGGGAGAACGTACGATTTTGGGTCTTTTGGGCCAGGCTAACCTCACTCAGAATGATGTTCTCCAGTTCCATCCATTTACCTGTGAATGACAACATTTCATTCTTCTTCATGGCTGCATAAAATTCCATTGTGTATAGATACCACATTTTCTTAATCCATTCATCAGTAGTGGGGCATCTTGGCTGTTTCCATAACTTGGCTATTGTGAATAGTGCCTCAGTAAACATGGGTGTGCAGGTGCCTCTGGAGTAACCTGTGTCACAGTCTTTTGGGTATATCCCCAAGAGTGGTATTGCTGGATCAAATGGTAGATCAACGTTTAGATTTTTAAGTAGCCTCCAAATTTTTTTCCAGAGTGGTTGTACTGTCTACAGCCATATCACCCTGAACACACCGATCTCGCCTGATCTTGGAAGCTAAGCAGGGTCGGGCCTGGTTAGTACTTGGATGGGAGAATGGTTGTACTAATTTACATTCCCACCAGCAGTGTAAAAGGGTTCCTTTTTCCCCAGAACCTCACCAACACCTGTTGTTAGTGGTGTTGCTAATGATGGCTATTCTAACAGGGATGAGGTGGAATCTTAGTGTGGTTTTAATTTGCATTTCCTTTATTGCTAGAGATGGTGAGCATTTTTTCATGTGTTTTTGGCCATGTGAATTTCTTCTTTTCAGAAAGTTCTGTTTGGTTCACTTGCCCATTTCTGTATTGGTTCATTAATTTTGGGAGAATTTAGTTTTTTGAGTTCTCTATATATTCTGGTTATCAGTCCTTGATGTGTAGCTGGCAAATATTTTCTCCCACTCTGAGGGTGGCCTCTTCAGTTTAAAGACCATTTCTTTTGTTGAGCAAAAGCTTTTTAGTTTTATGAAGTCCCATTTATCTATGCTATCTCTTAGTTGCTGAGCTGCTGAGGTTCCAGATCTCCTTGCCTTTAATTTGTCTGATGGAAAGTCTGCTGTGATTTTGATGGGTTTACCTTTGTATGTTATTTGCTTTTCCTCTCTTACAGCCTTCAATATTCTTTCTCAGGTCTCTGTACTTGTTGTTTTAATGATAATATGCCATAGGGTAGTTCTATTTTGGTCATGTCTGTTTGGTGTTCTGGAGGCTTCCTGCACCTGTATTTCTAAATTTCTAGATTTCTCTAGATTTGGGGAAATTTCTGTTATTATTTTGTTGAATATATTACGCATTCCTTTTGCTTGCACCTCTTCTCCTTCTTCGATGCCCATGATACTCAGGTTTGGTGTTTTAATGGAATCAGTGAGTTCTTGCATATTCCTTTCAAATGTCTTGAGTTGTTTGGCTAATAGTTCTTTAGCTTTTCCTTCAATTACCATTTCATCTTCGAGTTCTGAGATTCTGTCTTCTGTTTGTTCTAGTCTGCTGGATTGGCCTTCTGTTTTGTTTTGCAATTCTGTTTCGTTCTTTTTTCTGTAGTTTTCTATATGCTGAGTCACTTCCTCTTTAATAATGTCCATTTTCATTCTGAGCTCATTTATCTCTTTATTAATTGTGTTCTTTGTTTCACTTTGGTGTTTATACAGTGATTCTATAGTTTCTTTTATTCCTTCTTGTGCTTTCTCAAATTCTGTATTTTTTGTTGCCTTGAAATTTCTTGAGTGTCTCCTGTACATTTTGGTTGACTATATCCAGTATCATCTCTATAAAATTCTCATTGATTACTTGCAGGATTTCTTCTTTCAGAGTGTTCTTGTGGGCTTCATTGGTTTCTTTGGCATAGTTTATCTTCATTTTGTTGGAGTCTGGATCTGGCTGTTTTCTTCATTTCCCTCTGGTTCCTGTACTGATTTATTATTGTTGGGAAAGTGGTTTCCCTCTTTTTTCCATCTTCCCATCATTGCCCTTGCTATTATTAGAGTCCCTGTACTCTGTGTAATTCCATATTATCTAGCTTGTAATAAAAACAGTGGTGATTTCTAGAGTGGAATGGTGAGAGGAGAGGGAAAGCAAAGAAGGTAAAGAAAAAGGGGAAAAAAACAAAACAAACAAACACACACACAAAAAAAAGTAGAGTCAATGAAATAAACAGGGAGAGGTAATGTACTAATCAACAATGAGCTATACAGGCATTAGAGAGACATAGAGAGGATAGTAAAACAGAAAAAAGAAAAAAGAAAATCCCCAAGTTCAAATGCAATAAAGTTCCAGTCTTAATAATTTTGGTGTTAGTCCTTCATCCTCCAGTCCTGGTGTTGGTGTCTGGGAAGAAGTTCTGCCATTGTCTCATCAAAGGGGTAAAAACAAAACAAACAAACAAAAAAAAAACCCAAAAACCAAAGTACATCAAAACAAATAAATCCTGAATTTAAATTCAATACAGTTTCAGTTAGTCCTTCAGCATCCAGTCCTAGTTCTGTCATTGTCTCATCAAAGGACGAAAAGAATAGCAACAAAAAAAAGAGTGGAGATAGCTGTGTGAATGTCTATCTGGGGCTGCGGCTCACCTGCCACCTACTGTCAGCCTTCTGCTACTGAAGGCTTTATTTATGCAGATCTCAGGAGTGAGCTTTACACTCACCTAGCCCTGCAGGCTTTGTTTGTTTAGAGTTCTCCTGCGCATGCCCTTTTGTCTTCTCCAGTATACAGCCCTACCCGCCTGTTACAATGGCAGTCTTTTTTTATTATTTAGAGCTCACATGGGCAGGTGTCCCTCCCCCACTCTCCTGTGAAGCCTGCTATGCTTTCGCTGCTGTTGCAAGCCTTCCCCTCTCCAAGCACACTGTGGGGGAGGTGCTGCCCCTCCTACCTTCCCCTGCCGGCTTCTTTATTCCCAGTTCAGTGGGGCTTGCCCCTCCCCCACTTTCTGGAGCTCGGGCTCCCCACCCTCTTTGCTAAATGTCTTCTTTTTCAGCTACTTGTTTATTATTCAGATTGGTTTATTCCTCTTTTTTCCCTGGGTGGGGGTCAGTCTATCCAGGGGGCTATGCTGATTCACCCTGTGCTGCTTAGCTCACCTGGTGGTCTGCGTCTTTCCAAGCAGTCTGGGAACTAGCATCTGGTGGTGTGGGAGCCCTCCTGGTTTCTCCATTTAATGTGGAGAGGGGATGGATGCTATGTGTGGGCTGGGGGTGTGGAGGAGTCAGTTTTGCTTCTTCTTGGTGGTCTTTCCTGCCAGGCATATGTCCAGTGTCTCTCCAAGATTTTACTTTAGGAAGCACGGCTTCTGCTTCCTCCCTCTAGTTGCCATCTTGGAATCTCCCCCTTTTACATATTTTTGACGAGCCAACTCTGTCTTTGCTTTATTAATTCTCTGTGCATTCCATCCCTGATCATTATTATTTATTTCTGTCTACTAATTTGGGGTTTGTCTTGTTCTTGTGTTCATATACCTTGAGGTGCATTAGTAGGTCACTTATTTGAGATGTCTAATTTTTAGTGTGTGTACACATCTATAAAGTTCCTTCTTATAATTACCTTAGCTGTGTTCCAAAGGTTCAGGTAAGTCCTGTTTTCATTTTTCACCTGACTCTAGAATTTGTTTAATTTCCTCACTGATGTCTTTGGTGATCCAATAATCATTCAATAGTGTATTGTTCCTTCTCATGAATTTATATAGTTTCTCCTAGTATTTATTTCTCATTTTATTCCAAATGATCTGATAAGTTATATGATATATGTATTTATTTCAGTTTTTATTTATTTATTCTTACAGGTTTTTTAAAATTTATTTGCAATTGCTTGCTACTATTTAAATATTTAACTTGATGCTTTCAAATGATCTATATATAGGGATTTTTCTTTTTGTTGTTGTACTGGGTGGGGATTCATTGTGGCATCCACAAAAGTTCTTACAATACATCAAATATATCATACTTCAATTCACCTCCTCCACCTTTCTTCTTTATACCCTCTTCCCCTCATTCCTGGAATACTTTCAACAGATCTGGTAAGTCATCTTGATCTATGGTGCAGTTTAACTCTGACGTTTCTTTATTGGTTTTTCTTAGCCTGAATCATTGATCTATTGATGACAGTGGGGTTGAAGTCACATATTATTATTGTGTCCTTTGACATATCCCTTTATGTCCAGTAACAAGCCTTTCATAAAATTGGTGCAGTAAACTCAGTGAATTTATGTTTGCAATCATTATATCTTCTCAATGATTGATCCTTTTGATAGTGACCTCCTTTATCTCTTCCAACTAACTTTGTCTTGGATTCTTCTTTGCTAGATATGAGTATAGGAACTCCTGCTTGCCTTGAAATTCCATTTTCTTAGTTTATCAGCTACACTTCCTTTTCTCCATCTCACAAGCTGTTTATATTGTGTTCTTAGTTTTACCTTTCTAAACAATTTCTTTTTTGTTTTCCTTTGTTTTGGAAAGTACTGGGGCTTGGACTCAGGGACTTATGCTCACTAAACAGATGCTCTACAACTTGGGCCAATTTACCAACTCAAAACCATTTCTAATTGTGCTTTACAATTCTTCTTTGATCTAGTTATATACAAGTATTTTGATTCGTTTTATCAAATTATTGTTTTCTGGCTTCTCTCCATTGTGATTTGTTACAACAAGCTATATTTTTTCTGCTTTGCAACTCTCATTTCAATAGCATGATGAATTGCAGCCCCAGACTAAAGCCTGGTTGATCCAGAGAGTTTAGTGCAGTATGTAAAAAAATATATAAGAAATAGGGGAATTTAGTCATTTTTCTATGGCAACAAGGCAGAAATGGTCAATGACCTCCCTCTATGGCAGTGGCCCTGGGTGTGTCATGCCTTTGCTCTGCCAGTGGCCTGGAGCCCAAAGATCACAGAGGGAATGGCTTCTGTTAGAGAAAAACTGATGACTTTTACTGTTCTGAGTGTTTGAATAAATGTAATTGTTCCAGGTAAATATTGCATTTTCACTATGGTTTCCTTTCTTCTTTCTTTCCCATATAGTACTGTTTCCATTCCTTACATCGTTTTATGAGGCACTAAATATTTCCATGTTTCCAAAAGATGTTACAGATTTTTTAAAATCTTCTGTAGAACGAATGAAAAAAGATCGCCTCCAGGATAAAACAAAGGTAATCTGGTGATGTGGTTCCATGAGGATGTTCAGTGGTAAATAATTTATTGGGAAGTATACATACTATTTCTGTTCTTCCCTGTTTTGTAAAGTTAGACAGAGAGCACTAGGTTGAAAGCAGGAGTGTTCAGATTCTAGTGGAGAATGAAGAATATAATGGTGGGGAATAAGAATATACAATGTGTCAGAGAGAAAGAGTTTAAAATGTCATGGCATAAATATTTTGAGATAAGAACTTTACCACATCCTACAAAAAAGGAACCCTTGCACACGATTGATGGAATATCGATTAGAGGAGACATTAAGGAAAATGCTATAGATGTTCCTCAAAAAAATTAAATTTTTTGCAGTGTAGGGGTTCAGACCCAGGGCCTCACACATGGTAAGCAAGGATTCTACCACTGAACAATAACCCCAGCAAAAAATTAAAAATAGCACCACATGATCCAGCCATCTTCCTACAAGATATATACTCAAATAAAACGAGATCAGTATAGTTAAGAGACATCTGCACTCTTATGTTCAAATTGCAGAGCCATTTAAAACATTTTTATTAACATAGTCAAGGTTCACATTAATGGGGCTTGGTGTGATGTTTCAACATATCATTGCAGCACTAATCGTAATTGCCACAAAATGACAACAATGTTAAGTGTCCACCAACTGATGGTGTATGGTGGTATATAGAATAGGAATATTATTCAGTCCTTAAAAGGAATAAAATCCTGTGTTTTGTGGTGTTCAACATGATTGGGATAGGCAATCATTATGTTAAGTGAAACATGCCTTTTATAGAAAATCAAGTACTATGTGATCTCACTCATATGAGGAATCTTAAAAAATTACCTCATAGAAGTGGAGATACAATGGTGGTTATCACAGGCTGGGGAAGGACATGGGGAAAGGTTTCTTAATGCATACCAAGTTATAGTTAGATAGGAGTTAAGTGTTCTCCTACCTCTAAACATTGTAGAGTGGCTACAGATAACAATGATGTACTGTACATTCCCAAAAGCTAGAGGAATGAATTTGAAAATTTTCAATCCTCATTACCTAAGGTGGTTGTAGGGCTTCTAAAGCCTGGACAACAGAACAAGGATGCCTACAGAGCAAGGAGGCAATACTAGTTTCTCCCAGGTGTCACTGAAAATGTTTCAGGATCCCAGGGTGTTGAAATATTTCAAGATGCTTGCTGCAAACTTGCTGATTCTCTCTGGAAATGGATGGAGTTTAATCTATGGGATTATTGTGTATTAAGAATGAAGGCAGGGGAAAGAGTGAAGTCTATAATTTCTTCCTGAGCAAGCAGGTGTGAAAGGAGAAGGCGGTCACCAACTGGCCAGGAGTCTGTGTCCAGAGCCAGAGAAACTCAGGTTCAGGGACAGCAAAGATGAAAAGCTGGTGAACATAGCTACATTTCTCTCAGGAAACAGACTGCTTTCCAAAGTCTATAAAATGGATGGTTTTATTCCCCGAAAAATCAGCAATACCAGGCAGACTTTTGGACTTAAAGGGGCCATATGCTCAGAAGGCAGGTGAAGTTTAACACTCTGACCTTTTTCTGAATTCATGAGTGACCTGTCTGAAATTTCTCTTTGCTCTTCCAGCACCGAGTGGATCTCCTTCAGCTAATGATTAACTCCCAGAATTCCAAAGACACAGAGTCCCATAAAGGTAACCAAGAACGCTTCACAGCCTACAGATGGGGAGGCTCAGATGGTGGGGCTTGCTCTGGAAACTGAAGTCAATTTCCAAGTAGAAAAGCATTTTTGCAAAACTTCAGAAAAATATGCACTCTAATGTTATATACTGCATCCAAGGTTCTCTCTCTCTCTCTCTCTCTCCTCTCTATTTTTCTTTCTTTCTCATCTATTTAAAGCTACCAGTGATTTCACACCTTCACACCTGTCTGCAAAATTAATAAATATTTACTCATTCTAGAGAAGGGTAATAGGTTGATTCCAGTTTGCCAGTGCAAATACATCTACACATACATCTAGTTGTACATCTATCACTCTGTCATGTGTCTGTTTGTTTATCAACCATCTAGTTCAATACGTCTTTCTGTAGGTCAGGAGATAATCTATGGTCTCACGGTTCAATACGGTAACCTAGATTCATGCAGCTATCGAGCACTTGATGTCTGTGTAGTGCCACTGCAGTACTGGACCTTCAATTATATTGAATTTTAATTAATTTAAATTCAAATATCCGTGTGTGAAATGTAGCTACCACAGTGAATGGTCGAGCTATAAATGCAGAAGTTATAGTAAATTTTAATTCAACTTCATGGGGTTCAAGCTCATTGAGAAAGTAGTTTGATTGTTGAATCCACCCACAACCACATCACTGAAGTCATCATCAGTCAATGTGAACGCTGTAGAACTTTCAAACACTCACTTATTATTTTTAAATTTCCATTTCATGTTTGGTGTAGGTGCCATGATTATTTAAGGGCTCTGCAGACTAAACATCCTAATACAGTCCCTGATCAAGAGGCCAGTACCCCAGGTCTTCTAATACCTGATGCCTTCAAAGGTTTAATCCTTGTTTCCCAAGCTAGTTTATGCACACTGATCATCATGATTAATGAAATTTCATATATTGACTTGGTGATAGGTCTACTGTGGGTTTGAACTTGTGCCTTTCTAATAATCTTCAAGAAGTTCCCAAGGATGCTAGTCCAGAACCATACTTTGAGAACCAAGTTTCTTTCTACCCAATATTTTTCCCTTAGTTCCTCCAAACATGTTCAGATAATAGATCTTTTAATTTCCCATACACTAAAGCCTTAGTGTTGCAAACTCTTGCAAGGTGTTTCAAGCTGTTTAGGTAGAATAATTTGAAGTTTCCTGAGGGAGAATGCTCCCTTTTTATTTATACATTTCACTTATATAAACTAATTATTCAGAAATATCTAAGGAGGATACCAATAACATTGTATATGTTAGAAACATTGTCTTTTAAAATTAACTACCTGTAAATTGGTGAGGATGGCCAAATGAGCACAAGATGGACAGGTGTAGGGTAACCTATTGAAACCATTATTTGGGTTTTTCTTAATCTAAACTGTGATGTTCGGTATTGACTGTCTTAATCTAAAATGTGTGTTCTCTTCTATTAGTTCTATCTGACCTGGAGATTGTAGCCCAGTCAATTATCTTTATCTTTGCTGGCTATGAGACCACCAGCAGTGCTCTTTCCTTCGTTACATACTTATTGGCTACTCACCCTGATGTTCAGAAGAAATTGCAAGAGGAGATTGATGTGACATTTCCCAACAAGGTGAGGGAATGACATCATACCTGGATAGGGAGGGAAAAGGTGAAGCATTAATAAGAATGACAACTCATAATTTCCAGTGTGAATTTTTGCAAAAAGTTGTTAAGCATTCATTATTTCACCAACACTTCAGGAAGAATCTGAAGAGAGAAGTTAAGGGGGAACCTAAGTATCAGATACTACTCATAGAAATAGAAGGCCTTTGTAAAAGAATTTTGACCCAACTGTATCTATTGTCTGACAACCAACATAATACAAGAAAGAAACATCCACAAAATCCCAGTGACATGGAAGTATAAGCACATATAACTCAAGTGTCTAGAGAATTAGTTGTGTTGACATTGGGAGGTGTGCTCTGGTCTGGCTGTGGGCTGAGCAAGGGTGACCTTGGCTGGGCTATGCAGGTGACTCAGCTGTGCCCCACACATGCTCACATTCAAGTCATAGAGGAAGAGGTGAAGCAGCCAAGAGAGGAGCCTTGTTGTCTGACTCCAACGCCAAACTCTTAACCTCTACATTATGGTCTCTCTACTATAACACCAGTTGACAGGCACTTCACTCACCCAAACTGAGATTCTGTGGGGTGAAGCTACCTGGACTCTGGCACTGGCACGACTGGTCTGGCTGTGAGATGGACACAAAGCATTTTCTGCAGAACTTACAGTCAAGTCCTGAAGCAACAACCAGGAGAGTGGTCCTAAAACCAAGGATGGGGCTGAGTGTGTGGGTTCCTATCCTCTGTAGAACCTTTACTAGAACTGAAATTGTGTGTCACAACAGTATCCTTCTTTTGTCATATTTGGTGTAGAAGGGACTAGTTTCTCCTCAAATTATTTATACAGTTTTTGATTTTTAGAGTCTTTTATTATGTTACATTACATTAGATACTATATTATATCATATTACATATTCAAAATAATAGCTTTGCAGGCTATTTCAATTCAATGGAACAAGATTTCTTTCTTTTCATGTACTAAACACTTATGACCTCTCTGTTGAAAGGTGATACTCACTTTGGCTTACATTCTTTATCATAATCGTCACAATCCATAGTCACATCTCCTCAAGTGAGAAAGCAAAAGCAGTACATATTAATGCTAAGGATTTCAGGCCCTGGGATGGGGATTGTTCCTAAAGATCTCTCAAATTCATGACTCCTTTATACTTCCCATTTGCCGTTAAGCAGGTCAACAGACATGGTAGTTAAAACACTTTGTCAATGTCCAGGTGCTTTACCAACGTGATTTATTCCGTAGCCTGAGTTCAAAGTTACTCCCCAACTTTATGAAAATATCTTCCTTTCTTTCCAGGCACCTGCCACCTATGATGCCCTGGTACAGATGGAGTATCTAGACATGGTGGTGAATGAAACACTCCGATTGTACCCTATTGCTGGCCGACTTGAGAGGCTCTGTAAGACAGATGTTGAAATAAATGGAGTGTTCATTCCCAAAGGGACTGTGGTGATGGTACCAAGCTACGCTCTTCACCGAGATCCAAAGTTGTGGCAAGAGCCTGATGAGTTCCACCCTGAAAGGTATAGGGTCTATGGGAAAGGGAGCCTACCCTAACTAGGAAAGGGAACCTACCCTAGCCAGACTGGTTCAAGTGTATGTTATCTTTTAGTGTAGAAGACATAGGTGTGATTGTTCAATTAGTTACAGGAATGTATTTTTATTTCTAGCAGGTTTTTATATTAAAAACATGACACTTTTTTTCAAAATTATACATTATGCTGAGTATTATGAGCAATGTGGAAATGATTTAAAGTGTGCTCAAGGATGAGCTTCAGTCCTTTCCAAATGTTCTAGCACTTCTTATAAGGGACTTGAGTATTCATGGATTTTTTTGTTTCGGTCATGGAACGAATCTCCAACAGACTCAATGCAAAGACAGTAGAGTGTGTGTGTGTGTGTGTGTGTGTGTGTGTGCGCGCGCGTGCACATTTGTAAATTTTTAGGATGACTGTATGCATCTTCCCTAATTTCTTCAACGTTATGTTATTTTAGGTATTTAGGCTTTTTATTCCTTTCAGTTTTTCTGTGCACTTCCTTTTGGCTCTCTAAATGTATCACCAACATTAAGAAATGTTTCCATCTTGTGTTTGGTTAAAAATTCCTTCCTGGCTCGGCCAGTGTGCTTGTGAAAATGCAGGCTGAAGAACTGAGGAGGCCTCTTCTTTGATGGTTAGGCAGCCTCACTGAGGACAGAGGAGACCTCAGGTCCTCCTGGTCCTGTCTCTGCTGCTGTCCTGGGCCAGCTCCTTCACACTCAGTTTACTTCCTGACTCTTCCACAGCTAACTCATCTGCTTTCTAGACATCTAAGAAATTGAAGGTGTCTTGAGTAAACTCTTCTAGAAACTTGCAGGTCCTTGGCCACATTTATGGTCTAGAAATAGTTAGATTTTCTCATTATTTTATTGGTAAGCAAAGTAGATAATGAAGTTTTACAACAGGAGGCCTCTGATCTACTCTTTTACTGGCCTCTTACTAGGCATTTCCTGAGGGCAGGGGTGGTGTCATTGGTCATGGTGTCTCTAGTGGTACCAGAGTCTACACATAGTGACTTGTTGAAGCAAGAAGAAATCAAAGTTGACAGGGTCCCCCATTTTCTAGGCAAGAGGACTTCAGTGTTTCTTCTTAGGTCAGCTCTTCTACTTCCTGTATACTTGCAAATGTAAAATCAGAGCCAACTCACTTTAGTTCTTAGATTCACTCAATTATGAAGCAGACAGTAAGTGTTCACCATGTATCAGGAATGAGTCCAGGCTGTGATCAACCAAAATGTTGCCATAAATCTCTCACAGAAAATGCTTGACAAGTACACAATTGTAACTTACAGAAACAAATCCACAGAATAGCTTTAATGCAGGTCCATGTGCCCACCTCCTTCCTCAGCAACCATCCACCCACATCATCCCCATTCCACCACAACCACCCCCCGACTCTCATGTCTGTGTGAAACACATCACCTGTATGTATTTCATAAGATTTTCCACAATACAAAAAAGCTTTTAAAATACATAACCACAATGCCCTTCTCACTTTCCCCAAGTCATCTTTTTTCCTTAAACACTCAGTAGGAGGGGAGATAGGATATAGCAATAGAGGGAGTGAATATGATCAAAGATGAAAATTATGGAAAGGTCATGATGAAACCCTTTACTACAGGCAATTTAAATTTGTGTAATATTTGAGTCTAGCCTCCAAGTATTTTATACCCTAATGAAAAAGCTAGAGAAGGAAATTAATGATGATATTACAGCAGAGTAACATTTTATGCCTTTGTAAATTATCTCATTTAAACTGTTCAATGATGTAAGAATGGATGAAGAACAATAAGGAGAAGGAGAGGGAGATGCAAAGAGGAGGAGGGAGAAGGAAGATGGAGGGAAGGAAATAAAAAGAAGAAAAGAGAGGAAGGAGAAGGAAAGATGGAGAGGAAAGAGGAGAAACAACACTTCCAACGGTGGGAGGCATTTTTCCTGCTGCCTCAATGATTCAGTGATGTACAGAAGGGTAAGTTAAGGCAGGAGCATATTTTCCTTCCATTGGTCTCATTTCCTGTGTTTCAGGGTATGAACACATCTCCACTACAAATGGAGTTTTAGTGTTTGCTAAAGATAGATTTTCTTTTAAATAGCACTCATCACCTCTAACAAAACTTAAAGCTCCTCTAGGATCAGGAGAAAGGAAAGGATTTGGTAGCTTACAATTCCTGGCAAAACCACAGCAGCATTTCAAAGACCAACCCAGAAACTCATGCTGTCTACTCCTGGTTATGGATGTCTGCAGGGAACCCCAAATATGTAATTCTTGTGATTTTCCTGTTTCACCAACATGTTCTCATCCACTGCTGCTGCACCAGGTTCAGTAAGCAGAACAAGGACAGCATTGATCCGTACATATACATGCCGTTTGGAAATGGACCCAGGAACTGCATTGGAATGAGGTTTGCTCTCATGAACATGAAAGTCGCTCTCGTCAGAGTCATACAGAACTTCACCTTCAAAACTTGCAAGGAAACACAGGTTAGTATAATGTCTGAATAAATACTACTTTATGGAAGTTCTTTAAAGTATGCACTCATTCATCCTTTAATACTTTATCCTATGAGCCAAAGAATCTTTCTTTGTTCCATTTATTATATTTTAAGGTCATTTGATTTTGGAGCCACATCTTTTGCTTTATAAGGACCAAAAATAGAAAGATTATCCATAGTCATGCAAATAAGCATGACATGATTATGTTCAGTGTCTTTGAACTTGAGCCAAGTTTAAATTCAGCTTAGTGTCAACTGGAGTTAGGAGGCCCTGTTTGCAGTCATGATGGACAGTGATAGTGTCATCATGAAGGTTGAGTGTTGCTCTCCTCTACAAGAACTTAAAGAAACTCCCTGAATACAGTGACTTATTTCCAGGACTCACATATTAATGCCTGTAGACTTTTGGCTAGGAGAAAGGGCAGATAGAAATTATTTCCACCTTATTTGTGGCTGCAAGGTGACCATGTAGTTCTCCTGTTAATGTACAGTCAGAGGAGTTCATTCTGAGATAATGGAGGGCTCTGGAGCCTTAGGGATGAGACAGACACCCTCGGCAAGCTCCAGGTGTTTTCTAGGCTGGAGATTCTTAATCTCATGATAGATTCCTTATTCTTCACTACACCCTCTGTACTAAGATCAGAAAATTATTCAACCACAGAATTCACTACCAATAAAAGAATGACTAAATATGAAGTAAGGGTTAAATGAAAGTCTCAGAAATTCCCTATTTTCACTCTCCTTTGCAGTTAAAAGATGTTAGAAAAGAAAAAGAAATAAACCATGAACTACATGGTGGTGACTCACGCCTGTAATCCCAGCTATTCAGGAAGCAGAGATTAGGAGGATCAAGGTTCAAAACCAGCCCTGGCAAATAGTTCACAAGACCCTATCTTGAAAAACCTTTCACAAAAAAATAGGGCTGATGGAGTGACTCAAAGTGTAGGCTCTAAGTTCAAAACTCAGTACCACAAAAAAGGGGAAAAAATTCATCCTGAAATTCTATTTAATCATTAAATTGAATTGGTTTAGTTTAAAGAGATGACAGGATTCTTTAGAGGTTGAGCACTGCTCATATAACTTTTTATTCCAAGTTATCTTGCAAAAGCCAACAAATAGAATGGTAGAGGGGGTGAAATCAAGTATGACATATTTCATGTATTTTAAGAACTTTTGTAAATGCCACAATGTACCCCAACCCAGCACAACAATTTATAAAAAAAAGATGCAACACATACAAAATTAAATTTTTATGTCTTTTCAGAAATAGGTTGCCTTAATCTCTAAGAACTTAGTTTAAATTTTTAACTCATCCTTGTGCTTAAAATTATATCAATAAGCAAGCCACCATGATTTTTTCACAGAATAAGTGCTCATAAAATATTTTTTTCCAATGAACAAATGAATGTTGTCCCTACCCAGTTTTGATAGAGCTTAACAAATGAGTAGAAGGAATTCAAGATAAGTGATGTTACAAGTATTTTTCATGTGCTTATAAAGCATTACTGTCCTTATTGTATCTTTTCTTCATTGTTTCTGTGATTGGTGGCACTTCATTGATTGCTTATCATTGTGCATGCCTGTTGCAGATCCCTGTGAAATTAGGCAAACAAGGACTTCTTCAAGCAGAAAAACCCATTGTTCTAAAGGTTGTTCCAAGAGATGGGATCATAAGTGGAGCCTGATTTTCTCCAAAGACTCCTGCTACGTTCTTCAAGGAAGTTGAACAATTTATTTTTATAATTAAAACTCAGAAATGGAGATGAACTTAATCTTCTGCACTTGATTAATAATTAGAGATTCTGGACACTTGTTGAGCTTGTTCAGTGTGTGTGTAGGGTATTGTCTACTGTGTAAGAGAAAGGAGGTGACTACCGCAAAGCCTCACCCTCTCTGGTATCCATGGAAGTATCTCCATCTTCCCCAGTTATCACCATCAATTCTTCTGAGCTCTGAACAGAGAATAAACATTTATCACTAATTTAATCAACAATTGTTAATGAAAATAAGAATTATTGTGGGGACTCTAGTAGTGAAATTTGCATCAAATAGTTCATTTGCAGCATTCTACAATCAGTATTTTATTGAGAAATTCCAAACACTACTCTGCAAAAGAATGATCCAATCCTATCATGAACTCTGTGGGGGAGTGGAGATCTATAAAACTGAATGAGGAGTCAATTTGTGAACATCACATTCAATGGTCATGTGCAGTCTGTTTCAGGACTCCAATTTGATTATTGTAATAGGCGGTTAATTCACTGTGATTTTGCTCATTGCTTGGAAGGGGTACTTACAGTGTAATTCTGCTATTTTAAGTACATATTTTTGTAACACTGTCCTGAGACAGTGTATTTTATTATTATTAGTTTTGATTTAAAGTCTCTATCCCATTCCCCTGATGTTTCTGGAAGAGAGAAAACATGTTTTCTTATATTTCTTTGTATTCCATCTTTACCTTCTAACTATGTTACCACAATGAACATTGAATAAAAATTATTTCTTGGGCAATTGTTTCTGGAGCAATGCTGAAAGCACTCATTGGATTCAGCTGGTTTCTTTTATTTCACCTTTCCACCCATTGCCTTTCTTTTGCTTTCCTTCCCTACCCTATTTTCTCCTTCCCTTCCCTCACTTAGTCTTAAGGCCATTGGATAGGATACAACAGGTTGTGGGCATACATTGTAGTGGAGAAGGTAGTCATGGTGGCTTCAAGTCAGAGATCAAATAGGATGAGGAAATCACAGCCTTGCCTGGGTGTGGAAGCCCATGCAAGGGGAGATGGAGCCATGCAGAGGCATGGCCTGAAAAGAGTAACCACTGACTAAATAGAGTGTGGAAAACTCAGGTGAGTGAGTTTAACAAGAGTGATGGAAGTCAGGATTGTCACTGTTTGTAGGGCGAGTTACTTATTCAGAAAGGGAGAACACTAGAAAGAACCCTATGGAATAAGTCTGGGGTGGAATCTAGCAGTGTTAATTTATGCTTTTCCAGAGAGAGAGGGAAGGGAGGGGAATGGAGGGCAGAGGAGGGAAGAGAAAGAGAGGATAGACATGTCAGATAGATAAAAGAGAGTTAATAGAAGAGAGAAGAAAAAAAATAGAAGAGAGAAGGATGATAGAAGATAAATGACAGACATGATAGATTAGATAGATAGATAGATGGATAAGAAGGATAGATGTAAAAGTGTGTATACTTGGGTATATAAACAATAAATTTCCTACTTCTCTGCATGTCAGGGCTAGGCATAATGGTGCAGGTCTGAAGATAAATCCACCTCACTGGGTCACAGATCTGGGTCTGGTGGTGGGGCAGTTCTAGAAAAAGTCTGTGAGCACAGACTTGGTGATAGTCGTGCTGTCTGAGATGACGGATTGGTGGTGCAGTCAAGTGACCTGATACTGAGGATGAAACTAAGCTAATCATAACATTCCAGCCCTAGTCTCCAAAAGTTTATGGCCGTCTCATAGTGAAAGTTCATTAAATAGTCCACTTCCAAGAATCCCCAAAATCTTAACACTTCCAACGTTAGGTAGCAGTTAGTCATGAGTGATGGGAGGAGCAGGATAGACAAATGAGGAGACAGGGAAATTTTATTATTTTAATATATATTACAGGAGCCAGGCTTAGACACTGAAACCAGAAAGTAGACACTAAAAGCCAGATCACCTAGGCACCCCTTCCATCTCTTTTTAGATTCTAAGTTACAAGAATAGGGAGACATAAAGGGGTTGACTGCATCTGTCTTCCTCTTTTAGATGTGAATAAGTTATAAGGATCCTTGAATGAGCAGAGGAAAAGGCTTGTCTACCTGAGGGAAATTCTTTTTTTTTCATTTATTTAATTTATTTATGATTACCTTATTATTGTTATACTGGAGGTACATTGTGACATTTATAAAAGTTCTTACAATATATCATAGTTAAATTCACCCCCTACATCATTCTTCTTTATCCCCATTTCCCCCATTCCTGGAATAGTTTCAAGACATTTAATTTTTCCATTTTCATACATGAGGACATAATATTTCCATGATATTCAGCCACACACCTGTGTTTTCTGTAGGCCTGAATGACATCTGCCTGTTTTCACATCCATCTTAGCCACCCAGATCCATTATCTTATTGATTAGAGATTGTCAGATGTGACCACATGTATTCCAACTAGGAAAGTATGAGATTAAGTGATGATGCACGATTTTGACTCTCTACTCACATTTCCTGCTTGGGGAGCAGGAAATGTTTCTCTGTTTTGCTCCCCCATTTCCCCCACTTTTATCCTGTTACACTAAATTCCTTTCCTAATGAACTTTACTATTGCTTTTTATTAGATTTTCATGTCTTGCCTCAATCCTCACACCACAAAAACTGAGGTATATACCAGCACAAAGTTTGGAGAGTGCCAACATTGTTCAAAAACACAAATTCATTGATGTTTGTTATGGTATACCTTCTTTGGTTTCTAATTTTATTAATTTGGGTCTTTTCCCTCCTCATTTAGTCATGTTTGCTAAACACAAAGTTTGGAGAGTGCCAACATTGTTCAAAAACACAAATTCATTGATGTTTGTTATGGTATACCTTCTTTGGTTTCTAATTTTATTAATTTGGGTCTTTTCTCTCCTCATTTAGTCATGTTTGCTAGGGGTTTATCAATCTTATTCAATTTGTCAAGGAACCAACTTTTCATTTCATTGATTCTTTGTAATTTTTTGTCTCTATTTCATTGATTTTGCCATTATCTTATTATCTCTCTCCTTCTGCTGGTTTGAGCTTTCTCTTGCTCTTGTTTCTCTGAGTTTGAGATACAATATTAGGTCATTTGAGATCTCTCTGTGTTTTCAATATATGCATTCGTGACTATAATCAGTCCCTTTAGCACTGTCTTTGCTGTATCCCATAGTTCCTGGTAGTTTGTTTTTCATTTAAATTAGATTCCAGGAATTTTTTTATTTCCTCCCTGATTTTTTTGATGACCCACCAGTCATGAAACAATTCCAAGTGTTTCAGGTTTGTCTGCTGTTTCTTTTGGTTACTGAGTTCCATTTTTATTCTGTTGTGGTCAGACAGTATCCAGGGGGTTATTTCAATTTTCTTTTATTTGTTAAGACTTCCTTTATATCACAAAATATGATCTATTCTGGAGAAAGTTACATGGGCTGCTGAGAAAAATGTATAGTGCCCTGTTTCAGGATGAAATACTCCCTAGATGTCTATCAGGTCCATTTGGTCAATGGTGTAATTCAATTCTGATGTCTTTGTTGATTATTAGTACAAATGAACTATCTATTTGTAATACTGGGGTATTGAAACCCATGATTTGTTTCTGCCTGTGAGGTGGTGTCCTTGTAAACAATAAATGTTTGGGTCTACCTTTTGAATCCACCTTGTCAATCCAATTCTTTGAGTGGGGACATTGACACTGCTAACATTTCATGTCAATATTGAGAGGTATGTGGTAATTCCTGCCTTTTGTTGTTCTGGGCATATAGGGATTTCTGTGTGTGCAATTAATTCTATATTACTCTATAAATGATTATCTCCACTTCTCTTGAGATTTCAAAATTCCCATCCTTTTATGCCTGTATTTATTTTTATCTTCTGTGTGTAGAATTACAGTTTTGAGGGGGGAATCATTTCTTTTTATAATTACTTTTAATATCTTCTGGAATGCTACTTGAGTGGTCATATATTGTTTTAGTTTCTGTTTATTATGAAAGGTTTTTATTTCTCCTTAAATTATGATTGATAGCTTTGATGGGTATAGTATCCTAGGTTCAAAATTGTTTTCTTTCATTGCTCAAAATACATCACTCCATACCCTTCTTGGTTTTAAAGTTTCTGTTGAGAAATCTGCTGTTATTGTGATGGATTTATCTTTGTGTGCTATTTGATTTTTCCCTATTGCAGCTTTGAATATGCTTTCCTTGTTCTCTGTGCTAATTGTTTTAGCTACAATTTGCTGTGGAGAAGTTCTATTTTGGTCATGTCTGTTTGGTGTCCTAGAAGCTTCCTGTACCTAGTTGGGTGTCTCTTTCTTGAGACTGGGGAAGTTTTCTGTTGTTAGTTTGTTGATTATGCTTCCTATACTTTGGTTTGCACCTGTTATCCTTTTTTAATGCCTTTGATTTGTTCATCTGGTCTTTTGATGGAGTGAGATTTCTTACATATTCCTTTCATAACTCTTCAATCTATGTATTCATGTATTATTTTTTCCCTGATATCTATTTTTCTTCTAATCCTGAAATTATGTCTTCCAGTCTGCTGGATTGGCTTTCAAACTTATTTGTTTTATTTATATGTGCATACGATGTTTGGGTCATTTCTCCCCCCTTCTCCCACTCTCTCCCTTACCCTCCCCGCCCCTCCCTCTCCCCCCCACCCCCTTGCTACCCAGCAGAAACTATTTTGTCCCTTATCTCTAATTTTGTTGAAGAGAGAGTATAAGCAATAATAGGAAGGACCAAGGGTTTTTGCTAGTTGAGATAAGGATAACTATACAGGGAATTGACTCGCATTGATTTCCTGTGCATGTGTGTTACCTTCTAAGTTAATTCTTCTTGAACTAAACTTTTCTCTAGTTCCTGGTCCCCTTTTCCTATTGGCCTCAGTTTGCTGTAAAGTGTCTGCTTTAGTTTCTCTGCGTTGAGGGCAACAAATGCTATCTAGTTTTTTAGGTGTCTTTC